GGGGCGCCTGGGTGGCGCAGTCGGTTAAGCGTCCGACTTCAACCAGGTCACGATCTCACGGTCCGTGAGTTCGAGCCCCGCGTCGGGCTCTGGGCTGATGGCTCAGAGCCTGGAGCCTGTTTCCGATTCTGTGTCTCCCTCTCTCTCTGCCCCTCGCCCGTTCATGCTCTGTCTCTCTCTGTCCCAAAAATAAATAAACGTTGAAAAAAAAAAATTTAAAAAAATAAATAAATAAATAAATAAATAAACCGGGTCTTAGAACTTAATGCCACCTTAATTTTTCTTGACTTTACTCTACAGACCTAAAATAAAGGCCATTCTAAATTCCCTTCATTCAAGAGTCTAAAATCCCTAAAAGAAAATGTGTTTACTAACTGAATGATTCATGTAAATTGGTTATCTTCTCCTCTGAGACATAATACTAACATAGTGGTGATCTCTCACTGAAGGAAGGCTTTCCCATTACTTGTCAACACTGGGGTGTACAACTCTCACTCTACTCCACAGCTAGACACAGAAATATGGGAAAAATAAGAAACATTTCCTGGTAATACACAGCCTCTCTGAAACTAGGTTTCTGAAAATACCCAGTATCATAATGTATTAAATTATTTAGCACCTCCTTGAATGTGGCATTTTTCTAGGCTTTCTAGTAACTGACATAGGCATCATAACAACCTTATAATAACTTATGGCCTAAGAAAACATATACAAAGACAGATTATGATATGCAAATAAACCCTGAATTCATAAATTAAAGCTGCATTCACAAGATACGCTTGAGGTAGTGGGGGAGGGATAATACACTCAAATGTTGTAGTAGTGAGAACAAGGATTCACTGAAACTAAGACCTTCCTGCAAAGGCCATCTGCAAATAAATATATGTTCTTCATATAATTACAGGAAAACTTCTTGAAATATACTCTTCATCATCCACTGCATAAATAAGTCTTACAACATCTAAGTTTCAAACAATCTTTTGTAATTTTTTTAACATTTATTTATTTTTTTGAGAGACAGAGAAACACAGAGCATGAGCAGGGAAGGGGCAGAGAGGGAGACACAGAATCCAAAGTAGGCTCTAGGCTCTGAGCTGTCAGCACAGAGCCCAATGCAGAGCTTGAACCCATGAACCAAAGTCAAAGTTGGATGCTTAACCAACTGAGCCACCCAGGCGCCTCTCAAACAATCTTAAAAAAATTAATTACTAGATACACTGACCTAATCCAAGAAAGGTAAGACAATAACAAGATTATTATTAAAAGGAATGCTACTACCATTTATGTTTTTTGCTTTTCATTTTAAATTGGTTTTTAGCTTCTTATACCTTTTCCATTGAGTAAAACATCTATAGTTTTTCAGATGAAATTATATGATGTCTAGGATTTGTTGCAAAATATTCCAGCAGGGGAAGGGAGGAAGGTAGTGTGGTGATGGTTACTGGACTTGAGCTGGTAATTGCTAAAACGAGTGACAGGTAGAAGCAGAGCACATTAAATGTACCATTCTACTTAAAAATGTTCTGAAAGATCACAATAAAAAGTTTTTAATCTATGGCAAAACAAAACAAAACAAAACAAACAAAAAAAAATATATACAACCTGAATGCCCATAAATCTGGTAGTAAACTTGTTTTCTAGATTTCCAAAGTTATTGTTGGCGATCAGAATTGGTCTTCCTTCCATACAAAACTAGAAAGGGAAGGGAAATAGGGGCGCCTGGGTGGCTCAGTTGATTAAGCATCCGACTTTGGCTCAGGTCATGATCTCGCAGTTTGTGAGTTCAAGTCCCACGTCGGGCTCTGTGCTGACAGCTCAGAGCCTGAAGCCTGCTTCAGATTCTGTGTCTCCCCCTCTCTCTGTCCCTCCCATGCTCATGCTCTGTCTCTCTCTCTCTCAATAATAATAAACGTTAAAAAAAATTTTTTTTTTAAGAAACAAAAGGAAAGGGAAGGGAAATAAATATTTAAGAAGGGCTTACTATGGGGGCGCCCAGGTAGTTCAGTCGGTTAAACGTCCAACTTCAGTTCAGGTCATGATCTCACGGTTCGTGGTTTTGAGCCCCACATCAGGCTTTCTGCTATCAGTGCAGAGCCCACTTTAGATACTCTGTCTCCCCTCCCCCACCCTCCCCAGCTTGTCCTTGCTCTCTCTCAAAAATAAATACACATTAAAAAAGATGTAAAAAGGGGCGCCTGGGTGGCTCAGACGGTTGAGCGTCCAACTTCAGCTCAGGTCATGATCTCGCAGTTTGTGAGTTCGAGCCCCATGTCGGGCTCTGTGCTGACAGCTCAGAGCCTGGAGCCTGCTTCAGATTCTGTGTGTATATGTCTCAATCTCTCTCCCTCTGTACCTCCTCCACTCACACTCTGTCTCTCTCTCCTTTGGAAATAAATAAACATTTAAAAAAAATTTTTTTTAAAAAAGGATGTAAAAAAAAAAAAAGGAGGGCTTACTATGTGACAGGCACTGTGCTTGACACATTCACCCATGTCCTTAAATCCTCACAGCCATCCTGACTTACAACCATCTTTAGAATAAAGAAACTGAAATTCAGACAGGTTATTGATTTGTTTAAGGGCACAGAATTAGCAAATGAAAAATCTGGAGTGTAAACTCAAATCTATTTGATTTATATCTCTACCATGGTACATTCTTGGGCCATTCCACTATCTAGTACTCAATAAATGATTATAAGTTTCAATTTTAATAATAGTACTTTATTTATACAATATTTCTGTTAGTAACTATGGCTGTTCAAAACATATTCAGTGTTTTACTTCAATTAAACATATATCAATTCATGAACAACCAGAAAGCTACATGTGCTTCATTAGGATCAAGCCAGTCTAAAAATATACACGGGAATATTTTTAGTCCCTAAGCACTAGATGCAAGGAAGGCAAAATATCTGTGGTAGTTGCATGCCTCGATGTGTAGAGAAATATTCTGTCCCTTCACCCTCACCCAGATGGACAGGGCTGTGATTGCCATCAATATCTGCCATGGACCTGGGAGGGAAGACTGGTGGCCTCAGCTAGCTCTGGAGGTTAACTATCAAGGATTTCAAATACGTGCAACTTATTTCTGAGTTGCCTAGAAGTCCCATTACCTTGGTAAACTGTCTGCAAATAGCCACACAAGAGGACTAAATAGTCAACCAAAATGGCAAATGGCCAGGAAATTATGAAAAGGGGCAATGTTTGTGAAAGGAAAGTTGGTGAAGGAAGCACTATACATTACTCACTTCACAGAGATCAAAGAAACAGGACAAAATTGATTAATTAAGGCTGACAGTTTTAACATAGTTTTTCAAAAGTCCCATAAGTATACACCATAAGAATCATCCGAGACAAGGCACAAAAACCGAAAAATTAGTGTGGAGAGTAACTGAGTGTAACTCAGTAAAGAATGTCAAGCAGAATATTCTAAGACATCAGTGGTTACAGTTAATTGCACAAGATTATTTAGAAAATGATAATAAATCTCAAACACTTAGATTTATACCAGACAAATCATCTAAAATAAGATTGGCGGGGGGGGGGCATATTTCAGTTGTCAGAGTCCTGGCTCAGGCAGTTTAGATCTCAACAACCTTCAGTCACTTCACTTTTACAGCTGCCCTCTATCTAATATAAAGTTCTGACACTGGAGGAGCTCAATCCACTTATCAAATTAGTCACTATAACACTGCTAAGAAATGAATGCAGCAGGAATGGGGGGGGGCGCATTTTATTGCTGAGAAAAGGGAGGCACAGAGAAGTGACAATCCATGAGGCTCCTCTAGAGTCAAAACCGGCTCATACTCATCCCACTTTCCCACAGGTCCTCTTATCAATACCGAATGAAGCCGTTTCCTTAGGAGATGCAACTATTCATCAACACAATCATCTTAACAAAATCTCCTCATTCACATTTTTCTAGGATTAAGGGGGAAATGTCAGAAAACCTAATTCTAAATTGAAGGGTACAAAGAAAGGCCAAAGTTAACTGAAGTAATGCAACAGTTCCAATTTCTCGCACTATCAAATTGTGAGATTTACCAACTGCTTGACCTTCAATCTACCTAAATTCATGCTTTAGAACAATTCTCTACCTCTACAAGTCCTAGCTATATAGTATTTCAGATACAATAAAAAGAAGCTTCCCTCTATAAACAAAAATCTGACTAAGAGAGGTGTCTGGTTTTTATGTTATAAACACTAACTTGAAGGTACATTCGGAATACAAAATCTCCCAAGAAATCATTGACTATACTGTATTTCACCAACTTTAAGACACTGTTGATGTTAAGGCACATCGTTGTTCTCAATGAAACTCTACAAAGGAAAATGCTACCAATTTTAATTTGTAAGGTAACATCTTGATTTCATCAAAAAGCATCCTAATTTTGGAGATGTTAAAATGTAGAACATGTACATCTTAGATAAAACCCAGCTATGTCCTCAGCTTCCCCTCTGTACTCTTGTTATCCCAAGGTCTTCTTCCAGCTTTTTAGAAGGAGCATTCCCTCCTTCTCCCGTCTCACCAAGCTGTCTTCTTTCTCTTTCATTAAACACCTCTTAAAACCTTCTTCAAATAAATAGAAAAATTCCTTTAAGTACGACACCCTCTTCCTTTATTACCACATGTATACCTTTCTTGCAAGATAATTTAACCAATTCAATACATTTGTCCAAAGAAGTCCCTAAGTATCTCTATGAATCATGATTACCCTATGGTACTGACAGCTTCTGTGTTATAACAGCCTCTGACTAGTACACAGCACAGTGCACACTGAAAGAGGTGCTGACTAAATCCATGTGATGATGACAATCTCGCTGCCTAAAAGGCTCCTGAATATTCACTAGCAGATCCTACATTTTTACTCAAACACATGAAAGAAAAAAAAGATGTCTTCTTACCTGACTTCTAACAACAATGGAGTGGAAAACCATTTTGTTGTAAGAGAGGTTGTAATGGCTTTTGAATCTGCCTTTACTGAAGAAAACAGCCATAGTCCAGTGAATACAATCAGAAGTTCCATTTTATAGCAAACTCCTAAAAAAAGGAAAATTTTAAAAAAAGGTTTTGCCACAGGAAATGTTTAAACCTGAATCTTAATACTTAGAGATACAAAATAACATGAGAATTACAGAAATGGAAATGTTTCTGAAATATAACAGCACCTAATATCTCCATAGTCCAACAGATATTTGCTGAGCGACTGATGTAGAACTAAAGCCGTGAAGTTCATGGAATGCTTTCCTATAAAGACTGCACTGCATTTCCTGGGTTGCCTCTACAGAGGTATAAAAGTCAGTTGGTGGCACAGCAGTTTACACATAATTCTACTTTATGAAGCATGAGAGTAAACAAAGCTTAGATGAAAACGTAAATGATGGGTATTAAATGGTGCCCACCCCCCAAAAGTTATGAAGTCCTAATCCCAGCACCTTGAAATGTGAACTTATTTGGAAATAGGATCTTAGCAGAGGTAACCTGGTTAAAATTGGGTCATTAGGGTGAACCTTAACCCAATATGACTGAATTGTTAAGGAAAATGTGGACACAGAGACAGGCACACAGCGGGAAGACCATGTGAAGGGACACTGAGAGAGTGCCAGTGAGGACAGGCACTTGTCGGAACTACACTGCAAACCAAGCTGCAAACCACAGAACACCTAGGCCCAGCAGATGCTGGAAGAGGGAAAGAAAGACCCTCCCCTACAGATTTCGGACAGAACATGAGCTGTGACACCATGATTTAGAATGTCTAGCCTACACAACTGGAAGGCAAGGAACTGCTATTGCCGTAAGCCACACAGTTTGATGCACTGTCACAGCAATCCTAGGAAGCTAACACTTCAATGTAAATGCATAAAACAGTCCCGGAATGAAGGAAAGTTAAACAGGTCCCTATCTACAAAATAAGGAAACTGGAGTCACTGGTAAATTGGCATGGCCATACAATGCAGGTCTTCCAACCTCCCAGCAGCAATGTCCTTAAGCATGCTGATGTGTCTAGATCATTTCAGAAAAAGGCCTCGAGCTGCAAGGGCTTCTATGGTCTGATTTTTCATCTCAGAAGTCTGCTCACAGAACCCTAAGCAGGTTTCCCGTGGGCTATATAAGTCAGCATCCAAGTTCTACCCATTTGAATGGGAACCCAAAGGGGCCATGAATCTGTGGGAAACACTATGCCAAAGCTGTGCTTGCGCATGCTAATGTCTGGTAAGGCTCACCTCACTCACCCCAATTCCTCGAGATATTGGCTATAAAAGCTATCGTCTGGGTGACCAGTCACTACCTTCTTTTTACAAAAAGCATTAACATCTGTGCCAACATCCTGCTTCGTATATAACACACAATATCTCTAAAGAACAAATGGGCAAAAGCAAAATAAAAGATACCAAATAGAAAAGCTGCTTTTTAAGAGTCTTTAGTTCAGGCACTGCCACCTTAATTGATTTAATCGACTGACTAATATAAACAAATATTAACATCCCATTTATAAATAAGCACAAAAAAAAAAAAACCCACAAAATTTGCAAAGACTAGAGCTAACCAAACTAGACCCCCCACACTGAAACCTGCTAGCAGTGATTTTGGGGAGGGGACTTTCAGAATGTAGCAAAAGTTACTGACATTTCCTGCAGAGGAGCAAGCAAGGATGCAAACTTTTAGATACAATTTCAGACCACTCAAAAACTCTTAGACACCCTCCCCTACTGGTCCACAGACTGCAGCCTCAGAATCCTGCTCTGCATGACAGAAAAACATGGTTGGGAAAAAGAGAGAACCGTTTAGAGTTAGGGACTTACTTCAATTACTGACTTTGCTACTTACTAGCAGTTTAACCATAAGCAAGTCCCCTAGTAACATCTCTGGCCCTTCTCCCAGACTCTGAAATAGGAATATCAGTATCTACCGCACTTGGACACTGTGAGAATGAAAAAGCGACATGAAAATCACTTCATGAAGTGCCAAGTACTATAGCAGAATTAACCGTTCTAGTAAAACATGTTCTTATAAGGAAAAGAAACCACCTTCTAAACTATAGAATAAGAACACATCATCGTTACTGCATGGTCTCAAAAAATTGGAAATATAGGGGCGCCTGGGTGGCGCAGTCGGTTGAGCGTCCGACTTCAGCCAGGTCACGATCTCGCGCTCCGTGAGTTCGAGCCCCGCGTCGGGCTCTGGGCTGATGGCTCAGAGCCTGGAGCCTGTTTCCGATTCTGTGTCTCCCTCTCTCTCTGCCCCTCCCCCGTTCATGCTCTGTCTCTCTCTGTCCCAAAAATAAAGTAAACGTTGAAAAAAAATTAAAAAAAAAAAAAAATTGGAAATATATATTCTGTGATTAGGGGGAAAAAATCATCCCCAAAAGTCACAAAACGTCTAAACTGGAGACAGAATATATGAACTACGTTCAAGCAGTACTGTGCTACAGCTATGTTTACAATTTTTCCTGAAGGGGCCTACATGTGCTGTCCCAAAAGAGGTGACCGTGGACAGGAAATTCAAACACTGTCAGTAACCCCAGGCAGGCTTCATGCATAGAGTGGTGAGGGAACTGGAAGTGACAAAAGGTCCCTGAGGAAACATTAGCCATTACCGACCAATTGCTCTGGGCCAAGCACTGTGTCAGGTGCTTTGCATACACCATGACTTCTAGTCCTTCCACACAACTTATCCAGGAGACTGCAGCTCCTGGAGGGTGGTTGCCATGTCTATTTTGTTCACCACACCAAATAGCACAGCACCTGGCAAACAGCAGATATTCCATAACTATGCTGCATAATGGGTGAAACACTATAATTTCACCTTTAAAAATAAGAAAATGGAAGCTTGGAGAAGCCGAGTAACTTGCCCAACTAATAAATAGCAATGCTTGGAACCCACATCTGCCTGTTTTTAAGTTCCACAATACCATGCTATCTCCCCCGGTTCCCAAGCTTTGGAAGGGTAAGAATTCATACTGTGCAGAACCAAACTAAGCAAAAAGCTTTCTTGTGAGAACCAAGGCAAGTCCAAGGACTTTCTAGGGACAGAGACCTTGGGATACAGGTGGCTGAGAAAGGCACAGTTTCAAACCAAAACCAAGCATGCCACCCTGAAGCTGGGACCCAAGAGAAGTGACCAACCAGCCTGACAGATCTGTATTCAGGCTGGCTTTGGGGATGGAATGTGAGCTCCTCAAGAGCAGGGAATTTGGGGGGCACCTGGGTGGTTCAGCCCGTTGGGTGACCAACTCTTGATTTCCGCTCAGGTCATGATCTCGCGGTTCGGGAGTTCGAGTCTTGCATCGGGCTCTGGGATCACAGTGAGGAGCCTGCTTGAGATTCTCTCTCTCTCTCTCTCTCTCTCTCTCTTCCTATGTTCCTCCCCCCCTGCTTGTGCACTCGCACTCTCTCTCTCCCTCCCTCCCTATGTTCCTCCCCTGCTTGTGCTCTCTCTCTCTCTCAAAATAAATTAAAAAAAAAAAAAAAAAAAGCAGGGAATTTTGTTTGTCAGGGTCAAATGCCTAGCATAATGCCTGGAACACAGGAGGTGCTCAGAATGAAATAAACAAAGTCTTCATTAAAGGATGAATGAAAGCAAATAGAAAGAAAGGAGTTTGATACCAAGAGGAAAGATGCTTAGGACTTAAAGATTAAAATGAAAATTCTACACACCAAGACTCGCCCAGCATTCCCCTTGAATTGTTCGAAAAACAGAGACAGTTCTTGGGGCAAGGTATAGCACCGCTGGAGGTGACAGAGGAAAGTGGCCACTAAAGAAGAGCTTTCCTACCCAGACCCCGCAGCCTAGATGCAACAGGTAAAACCACAAGAAAAGACTGTTTAGAGAAGCAGAAGTAAGAGCTTCACAGAAGCGGCCTTTTGTTTGAGAATGCCTTCATTTTATGAGAATCTTACACTCCGATCCTAGTGGTCCTTAAATGTTGCTTATAATTATGAACAGTCTAAGAAATAATCGTCAGAATCCCAAGGTGGCACTCCATGATCACAGGCATAATGCTTGTGGCAAAATGGGTAAATCAAAAACATTCTTTAATAAGTCCTAGGCGCAAATGTTATATCTGTAAGATCTAGTCCGTGGCCCAGCTTCCTTAGTTCAATGACTATCTCTTGCTCACTGACCTACAGTAAAATTTTGGAAATATTAATGAAAATTGCAGTTTGGCAAACACTTTTCACTTTTTTTTTACATTTATTTATTTTTGAGAGAGACAGACAGAGCACAAGTCGGGGAGGGGCAGAGAGAGAAGGAGACACAGAATCCGAAGCAGGCTCCAGGCTCTGAGCTGTCAGCACAGAGCCCGACCCAGGACTCGAACTAACTCACTGCGAGATCGTGACCTGAGCCGAAGTTGGATGCTTAACCGACTGAGCCACCCAGGCGCCCCAAACACTTTTCACTTTTTGGAAAAAAGAGGCATAAAATTATAAATCACCAACTTTTTCTTTTTCCATTTCTAAACTGAAGATAATAGCTGACAATCTCTTAAAAAACCAACTTGCACCTTGCAAGTTTATAGATAGCCATCTGAGCATCAATATACAAGATTAACAGTGAGAAAAATACTAGGAACGACCCCTCAAGAAATAATTTTACTTCTCAAATAAAGTTAATATGTATTTATAGCTATTAGCAAAACCATTTGCTAATTTTTGATAAAAGTAGTTACTATACATCTGATATGAAAATGATCACAGGTAACTGCAGAAAAAAACCTAAAAGAATTTTCTACATAGTTCAGTTTCTTCCCCTCAAGGTAAGCGTGCATTGTACAACTGCCACACAACTATACAAAGCAATGTTTATTTCCTTTAATAAAAATGAGTGCCAACTAAGTTTGTCTAAAGCAGGTCAAGTGGAAAGGCTACCATCATCCCTTATTTTGTGGCCTTAAATAACTATTTTAAATGTCTTCAAACATCGTACTAAAACTGGCTGGCAAGTGCTTGATGAATGTTTCCAATATAGTATCTCACAGTAAGACATAAGACCCCCAGACTTCAAATGAACATAATATGCTAGTTCTCATATCTGGCAAGAAATGCAAAACAATCTAGAGGTTTTGGCCAACGGAGAACAGTTCACATCCATAACTTATTGGCGATGTACGCAGATCTTCTGGCAGGTCCCACACGAAAAGTGAAACCGAATTATCCAATTACCAGCCAACAGATCCTCGTACTTAAATGAAAATGGCAACCAGTATGCATCACCCTGATTCATTTTAGGGAAAAAACAGAAATCTACAAAAAGATCAAGTTGTTCTCCAATCAGAGTCCTGCAAACTGCTGGTTCTCAACCTACTTAGGGTCAGACGTGGTCCAAACTCAAGTTAGGGCACTTCCCCCACCTCCTTCTGCACTTGGGCACACGGATCTCAAAGCTCTTCAGTAAAGGCTCAAAAAGGGCTACAAGAGAGTCCGCGGCCACTCTCGCAGAAACTATACTTTGCCCGTAAGACCAGTGAGGGCAACTCGGAGGAGTCACAAATAGGGGGAGGACTAGTACAAAGAAGGAGAAACTGAGTCAGGGAAGAAGCGGAAGCTCAAGGTGACCAGGGCACGAGGTCGCCTCACGTCCCAGACCCTGTCCCCGTCCACGAGACCTCCCCACGCCACGCCAGGGGTACCTGTCACCGGCCGCGCAGCCGCGGCACACGCGCCGCTCGCGTCCCCCTTCCTGCCCATGCTGGGGCCACGCTTCGTCCGCGACGATGTCAGCGACAACGCCGGGGCGGGGCGGTGACGGCGGCGGCAGCGGCTGCGCCAGTGAGCGGCCGACACGCGCCTTTCCCGCGGCTCCCCTCACAAGCCGGTCTCGCAAAGCAATAACCCAGCTGCCTACTGCCTTTTTACTTCCGCTTCCTACTGGCGAGAGCCGGAGGACTTCCGGCTACCGAGTCGCGGCTGGGGCAGCCGAGAGCGTCGTGTGGTCGCCATCTTGTATCCGAGGAGTCCCCGCCTCCCTCCTTTCTCTGACTGTGCAGTGTGGCTGGGAAGAGAGCACTTTTACGGTCTGGAGAGTGGGACTAGGAGCCGACAGCTGAGACCCAAAGCTGTACCAGCTGGTGAAGCCGAACAGGGGTTTCAGCCTTTTTTCCGACCTGGACTTTGGGGAGCTTCAGAAGCTACTTCCTTAAACCCTTATATTAAAAGCACTGCTGCACAACTAAAGCACAAAATTTCTTAATGTTTCTGGGCATCTTAGACTATCGTAACCCCTAAGTTTTGATAACTACCGTTCCTGGGAGCGTGGGAAAAGGAAAACTTTTTAAGTTTTATGAGACGATTTAGCTTAGATTATACTGGCAGTGGCAATTTGCTTACCTTTTTTTTATTTTTTTTTTGGAAAAAAAAATTTTTTGCCCAATATAAATCGCTGTGCAAAAATTTCTGTAGGGACGCCTGGGTACCTCAGTCGGTAAAGCCTCGGTCGTGGGCTCGGGTCTTGACCTCAGGGTGTTGAGCTTCAGCCCCACTTCCGGCTCTGTGCTGACAGCTTGGGGTCTGAAACCTGCTTGGAATTCTGTGCCTCCCTCTCTCTCTGCCCCTCCCTGCCAGCACTCTGTCTGTCTGTCTGTCTGTCTCTCTCTCTCTCTCAAAAAGCAGTAGTTGAACAGGGGTTTCCAGCCTTTTTCCGACCTGGGAGCTTGTAGCTACTTCCTTTAAACCCTTAGAAAAGTATCCCTGCACAACTAAAGCACAAAATTTAATGTTTCTAAGAACTTAGGACTATCGTAACCCCTAAGTTTTGATAACTACTGTTCCTGGGAGTGTGGGAAAAGAAACTTTTTAAGTTTTATGAGACGATTTAGTTTAGATTTGTACTGGCAGTGGCAATTTGTTTATCTTTTTTATTTTTTTTTGGAGAAAAAATTTTTTGCCCAAATATAAATCGTCGCAAAATTTCTGTAGGGACGCCTGGGTACTCAGGTCGGCAAGCCTCGGTCGGCTCAGTCTTGACCTCAGGGTGTTGAGCTTCAGCCCCACTTCCTCCGGCTCTGTGCTGACAGCTTGTAACTGAAACCTGCTTGAATTCTGTGCCTCCTCCTCTCTCTGCTCCCTCCTGCCAGCACTCTGTCTGTCTGTCTGTCTGTCTTCTTCTCTCTCAAAAATGATAAACATTTAAAAAATTATTTAATAAATATTGCAATTAACCATCTTAGAAGGGGGAAATCATAAATGTTAAAGATTAACGAAAAAATACAACTCATCAGCTCTTCACCTCACAATTTCCTAACTCATGGCAGATCACTGATCTTTTCACCATCTGCTATGGACTGCATATTTGTGTCCTCCTCAAATTTATACAGTAAAACCTGACTGTCAGTGTGATAGCATTTAGAGGTGAGGCTTTGGGGAGGTGATTAGGTCATGAGAGTGGGGCCCTCCTGAATGGGGTTAGTGCCCTTACAGAAAGAGACCCCAAAGAGCTCCCTTGCCCTTCCATCTTTTTTTTTTTTTTAACCTTGCTTCTTTTTGAGAGAAAGTGAGAGAGCACAAGCAGGGAAGGGGCAGAGAGAGGGAGACACAGAATCTGAAGCAGACTCCAGACTCTGAGCTGTCAGCACAGAGACCAATGCGCGGCTCAAACTCAAACTCCAAGATCATGACCTGAGCCCAAGTCTGACACTCAACTAACTGAGCCACTCAGGCACCACTTGCCTTTACATCTTACGAGGACACAGAAGTTCTTGCATATTGTCCACTTTTTCCATTAGAGCCCTTGGCTTGTTACTTTAAAGATCCCATTGTGATAATTCCACAATTATCTGCCTGTATGCCTGTAACTTTTGCTTAAAACCCATACATGATGTACCGGGTAAAAAGAAATGAGGTAAATAGGCCTCAGTGTGAACTTTTGTGTTTTTCTGGCCAGCAGTTAGCTGTGTTTACTGTTTGCCATAGCTGTGCATGTCAGAGACCTCCATGTCCTCCAGTGTCCTTGTTTTTCTCTCCTCTGTTATTTTTGGGTTTCCCTAGAAATGGCATCTTAAGTAGAGTCTGATCGTTATAGTTCTGTTAGCTGTAAACCACATTATTACCCAGGAGCCCTGTTGATGTGGTGGTAAGACTAAGGAGAGGGCAAGCATTCTGTAATCTGTTCTGTAATCCTATGATGGGGCCTCAGTCTTTTAATAGGTCTGTGCCCCTGGGCTGTGGCAACAGAAACACCCAGGGCCATCCGATTTATGCAGCATGCCCCACCCCTCCCGCTATCACACCTCCCCATTGCAATGTGATTTTGCCATTCCTTCCACCAGGAGGTGGAATCTATGACCTCACCCCTTAAATCTGGACTGGTCTTTTGACTTGCTTTGACCGGGAGAGTGCTGTGGACATGTCATTCTGTGACTCCCAAGCCCAAACCTTAAGAGGCCTGGCAATTTCTGCTTTCCCTTTCACTCTCAGGGTCCAACCTGCACACAGAAAAGCCCAAGATATCCTGATGGAGAAGGAAACCACTTTTCTTTCCTTTTTATAA